TCCATCCATTACCTGCATCAGTAAACATGGCTCGCCGTGGCAACCAATTTGGTGGCATGCACAACACTGCCCCTAACCAACCTAATCTAAGGAGGTTGACCTCTTGTTCCAATGGGCGACGGCGATTACCTAAAACTTTGCTTCCAATCTCGATATTGCATGTCGGATTCAGACATCGATGCAAAATACCGTTCGGTACTGGGAACCTTAAACCTGAGTCTTGGAATGAAGAACCGCGCGACAGACAAACTGTCTCCTGCCTGATTGGAGTGATAGAGGTGGTTTTCGAAACTTTGTGTACTCCTACACCTTTTGACCTTTGACTTTATTATTTCTGTCATCAGTTCATTTTCCTCGCCGCTTTCGAACTTCCTTTTGTCAACCCATTTGTTTAGTTCGCTCCGGTTTTACGCCTCCAAGCCACCTATCCGGATATCCAAGCCCGGCTTACAAAAGCGGAGAGAAGACTGGATCGATGTGATTCGTTGTGCCAACTTGCTGGCCAATACGAATTTCCTGTTGCTGCCGGGATAGCGACCGCCAACCAATTGGGTTGGATCGTGTCCGGCTACTTACCCTCTTTGGATGGACGGTATGCATCCCCCTATTTCTGGCAAACCGCTCGAGACAATGTCTGATCTAATGTACAAAAATACACATTATTTTTGTCATTTCTCTCGCGTTCTACTCGTCTACGTGTTCTCAAATAATCTGCCCCCGGACCAACCACCGGTTTTCTGGTATTGAAAGGTACAGGGATGCAGTGATTAACAGCATTTCATCTGAATAGAAAGATTAAATTTGAACTCATTCACTAACCAACAGAGGTTGCAGTCTTTCTCTGTATTTCCTGGAATGACCATTGTATTCCATCCACAATGCAACAGCCTGTCACCTACGGCTTAGTCGTACACGTTCTTATCCTTGTCGCACCATTGATCAACTGGTCACATCTTTTCACATCCCGATTACATCTCTACGATCTTCATACCTTAGTGGATGAGCCAAGTGGTGATAAGCATGAGTTGCATATATTCATGATCTTACAATTAATGATAACTTTGTACCGAGTGCTAAATCGCGGTAGGTAAAGTATTCGACCCACGGTTATCCTAATATTGATCAAGGACGTTCTCCAACGGGAGGAAGACTTGCCTCCATCATAGAATTCATAGAGAATCTTGGATTCAATAGGTCTTTGAACGATAGGTATATTCTTGTTTTCACTGCTGAACTCGGATTGGTTACCGAGAAATAGTACTTATCGACACGACTCAGACTGGCTACATATATATCGATAATGTGTATCATCCTCGGCAAAGGCACAATTTGAGTCGTCAGAACATAAGCTAGCAAATAAGCTTGTTTTTGATGGCTAAAAACAACATATTGAGTCACAAATATACGCAATCTCTGTAGGTAAATGCGTATAACAATATATACACGGAATCGAAGAACGTTTTCTAGCAGAGTAGCGCGTTTACAAACAAACCGGCGATGAACTATGTAGGCGGGTTATGGATCGCGCTCGACAAATATACTGTAAAATTCTATTCCAGCTCCCACGTATACAGGTATTGACCAGACTCGTTCAGCATACTGGTTTTCATCACATTTGTTCCTCTCAATGCTTCGTTTTTCCAGTCTCAGTCAGGGGATTGAAAGTGACATTGCTTCACATCAGAGGCGACATATCTGATACAATACCCACTTATGTCGTTTCTACTAGCCACATGCAATTAAAATGTACGATTTCACGATTTTGACGATGGTTGCTGGTGCATTAGTTGTGAAATAACAAAGTCACGGTAGGAAACGTAACTAGAATTTATTTATTAAAATAAATCATAGACTTCATACTACAGATATTGCACTTTCATCTCGTGTATGTCGCATTTGCCCTACTTCATTTTTGAGCACTGCAGGCAGTCACTTTGGAGTTCACCAAGTTGACTTCCAAACAGTTTGCAAGTTTCCTCTAATACACCGCACATCCTTACCCCTGACGATCAATGTTGAGGTAGTCAACTTATCCCTGTTTCTGATACAGAGAAAAGTTTTCGATTAAATTAAAATCCCAGTTGCTGCGCTGTAAGTCAACGAATTTGACATTGAACTTGACCCTTCAAGAGACTGCATAAACGTGAAAAAAATATTTAATTAGGTTTAACCGTTTTCTACCACCCACCTCAAACGAGAATATATACAAACCTTTATCTGTGAAAAATATGACTTCCACAAATTCATTTAAAGAGTAGCAGTTACCGAAAACCTCCCTCAGCAGTACAAAACATTTTACGATATCCAGATAGGTGTGCGCAGAAGACCAATAACAAGGCGCTCAGTATTTCCTTTCCTTTCAACTCGTCTGGCGGGATGAATAGTTACTTCTTTTGATAGGCAAAGCGAAATTCATTAGATAACTAGCTTAGTCGATCAGCTTCCATCGCGTACTGAATTACTCATTGACCATCAGTGAGATAAACCCATTGCCAAATGGACAGGCGGCGCGATTTGAATTTGTTGACAAAATCAATACGTCCTCTGCTTTATTGGGCGTTCCATAACGGCTTTATATCACGTGGCCTTAGCTGCATTTCAAATTAAATCATCATTTTCCAAACGAAGGCGTGAGGAAAAAGCGGCTGATCATCCCGGACTATCCTCCAGATTGGTTTTATGCAACTGTTCGCTGCTGCCATCAAATACAATCATCGTCTTGCTCTGATATGATCGGTTTCCTCCCTCTCGGATGATGATGATGATGATGGAGAATATAGAACAAATTGGACTTATGTTCCACAAGACACCGACTGAGTCATCGGATTTATGCGCCTCTGCATTAGTTTGCCCCCAGGCTTCAGTTATATGCCAAAACCATTTATATGTTTCATCCGGTGTGGGTATGGTGACGCTGAAAGGCACTTATTCAACGAGCCGCATACCTCAGGATCCATTCCTCGAATTAAGTTGTTGCTAAAACTGGAATCGTTTGAATGCCCCCACGCAGTTGTTAGCTTGGCTATCCAACTAGTTTACCGATAGGGTACAAACCACTAGATTGGGGAAGATCACATCAAAACCCTTAGTCAACAACTCCGGGGTTCTTCAAGGAGCGGTGCTATCCCCATACTTATTTGCCACTCATATTTGTGATATTCCCTGTGTTTCTCCCGCACGAATTTTGAAATATGCAGATGATGTCGTGTTGTGCCAACCCATTTCTTCTTACTCTGATCTNAACCCCAGTAAATGTACTGAGTGTTTATATAGTTTTGCTCACTCCCCATATCCGACAGCCCCCACAGTGATTAATAACAATCTTTTATCCAGGATGAACTCTGTCAAATATTTTGGTGTAGCCATAGATAGCAATCTTCACTGGTCAACCCACATCCACAACTGCATTGGTAAACTGCGACGCCTTTCATTTCAAATACGAAAGCTCAGGCAGTTTCGCGCATCCCAGTCAGTTATTTCTACTTCTGTTTATCAATGTGCTTTTCCCATCTTACTCTACTGCTCCCCGGTTATTTTTCCTCGTTTACTCAAACAGGATTTCAAAGTATTACGTCGCGGTCTAACCATTATTAGTCGCGTCTCTTGCATTACTGTGAATGAATTAGCTGTAAAGCTTTCAGCGTATCACGTAACTTCCTGTATGAAATTTGCCGAGAGGATTCTCACAGATCCTGACCACCCATTGCATGCAGAACTGACAATTTGTCGTTCCCATTATTCAACACGCTCCCAATTCCGTCAAATTTCATCTCGAAATAACGCATACCGCTTTTCACCCATACCGTATCTTGCTCGTCTACTCATAAACGAAGAGCGGACAATAAGTGAACTTTGTCTTCACCTTGGATTATGAAATGTCCCCATGCCTGTAAAAACTTTTCTCCCCGTTGATTATGTACATTGTGACGGTTAGCGTACATGATTTTTTCGCTGAAATGTGAGCTCCAGTGCTTGCAAAAGTTATACACAATACAATCAACTTGTATGTTTCTTGGACTATGTTTTCAGTTATTTCAGTATTGTGGATAATGCGGGAGTGGTTTATAGCCAAATAATTTATCAATTTATTTAAGCTAGAATATTTTCAATAATTTGCTTATTTACTGTGCACTGAATGAAAAGAGAATAGAAATTTAGAATACGTGTGCTCAACTTAATAAACACTCGTGGAACAGGAATCATTTATTTAAAATAATGAAAACCCATCCTGCTTTGCTTAAAATATTTTCAAAATCTCAGCTGTAACTTTCGAACTACTACGACCTTTATCGCAACACTCAAAGTCACGCAAATTCAAGCGGTGGTCGGAGAGAACTAAGAACATAGATGTGGGAGATAAACTCAGGAATAAATACACTTTACCCATAGCCATCAATATGCTAGTGTGATATTGGAGACTGAAATTCATTTCTAAAATGAGAGTGATGTTGCACGAGTTTGATCAACACCTACGTATACGGTTGTTTTGGGTTTACTAAAATAAAAAGTGAGAACGTATTGGAAAATGCAACTTCTCATGGGTTCAATATAGTGGGAGGTTGACTGTGCATCGCACGTGTACTGAGAACTGATGATAAGAATCATGCAAGACAAACCATATTACTGAGTGGATACAAAAGCGATCCTTGATACCCGGTTGTAATAAGGTATTACTAACCAAATTTTGCTTGTTATCAGACCAGTCCATACGTGCGAAGTCGCATGCGTCCACTCCTATCCTTTTTTTTTCTTAAACTGTCACACAATATGACGGTTGATGGTCCGATTCACTACGAGAAACCATGTGAATGACATTACCGTTTTCAATGTTCTTACGATAAACACTTTCTGTTACATAGATTGAGCAATTTATGGTAAAATGGTTAAGCTCCATAATCCGATGACCAAACCGAATGGGAGGCTAGAGGGAATTCACCATAGATTGATTCTTATCCAGATTAGATGGACATTCTAAGTGAAAGGAAAAAGGGACAGGGTGAGGACGTTTTCACAGTTGGTCTGTTCTGGTTCCAATTGAGCACTGGAAGCTAATCGTATGGGACCTAGAAACATTTATCTGATAAGGGTAACTGGTTGTCTGGGCTCTGGAATGACAAGAGAAAGTATGGTAGATGGTTTCAACTGAGGCAAGGTTAGATTAGTAAAGAAGATGTAAAAGAACACAAAAACAATCATCTGACGACGGGCCAGTGACTGCAAGTTGAACTTTACCGAGGGGTTATTGTTGAGCAGAAATGCTGTAATTTGAAAGTATTCATGTATGCAGAAAGTTGATGATGAAGTCTTATCTCCCGTGCCAATGTGCACTACTCGAGGATGGATAAACTTTTGCTTTGCACAAAGCAGAGGAAAGAACTGTCTGGTACGAAATAAAAAAGCTAATTTCTGGCACAAGGCCAGGAGACTGGGAATAAGCAAGAATATGCACAACTGAGGCAGACATAATGTAAATGAACGTGGAGTTCGAGGGGAGGCGGAGGCTTGTAAGAGTAATGTTTATGGGAGATAGAGTCCATGGAATTTTGGGAGGCATTGAAAAGATGACAAACAAACTGAATTTTGGCTAATTTCGTGAGCAATTTGAATGCCATATACGGTCAAATATCAAGCGAGACCA